AATTACAATAAGAACAAGAAGAATGTAGGTCAAGTATTGCGTTGTTTGGTATTGCCAATCTTTTATAATATAACAACCTATAAAATGCATCTGTTCGACGTAAAATACGATGTTCCATTTAATTGCTTGTTCAATGTATAATTACTTTTTCATTCAGGGCCGTTAAACCGACGTGTTCTAGTTGCTGTTAATTATTCAACGACGTATCTATTAGCACGAGAGCAGCGTTAGGTTTTTATAGGTATTAGGCAGTCAACAGACTTAATAAAACTCGTTGTTAATAATATACGTAGCCAACGATCTTCGATGACGATAACGAAAGCAGCCTCATTATAATATTTCTCTGTCTTTTTCGTGCAACGATGTGAAACGATAGGTTAGAATTAATATTAATCTGATAGAGAGATTAACGAGTCCTTTCTGCCGAACGATATTTACGGTTGGATGCTTGCACTTGTGAGAAGAAATTACTTATAGCTTTCTACAAATATGGAATAATTAAATCAGTCACTTTAAATGAAGATTGAAACCAATAGGAGGATATTTAATCTTCTGCTGTCTTAGTGAAACGAAGCTTCGTATAGAAAAATATTATTCTACTTTCATTTGCGATTTACCCTTCCATGAAATTAATTCGTTTGTGCCATGATTTGCGGAACGCGCTGTACAATTTATTTTGGTTTAGTCGCTTTATTTAAGTAATCGGTGGAGCACGGCTGCCTGCCAGATATTACGTAAGTTTGAATGAATAGAGGGTACTCGTATATCATTACTGAGAGTGTCTGCACTACTCGTAAGAGTAATACGAGGGTCAACTAACGACCTCGAGTCTATAAAAAGTTTCACTTTCTTTCGCGATAGAAAGTGACTGGCCTTCGAAGTTACTTTGCAATTTTTGGTTGATTGCTTGACTATAGATGGTTTTTTGAAGAATTACGAAATATTCAGAAATTGCTATGTTTGTAATACATTTTGTCTTGTATAAATAAACATGAGAAAAAGAAAAAGTAATGTTAAAAATATATGTAATAAAAAATAATGTGTGTATATGCGCGCGAGTGCGTATGTGTGCGTGCGATAAATTTCAATGGATAGTAAACTATTAAAGAATTGAATTATTTTTCTTTTTCTTGCCGCTTGCATTTCATATGAGGAAAGCAATGTTTACACTCTAAATGATCCAGATCACTTTTATTTTGATTTATAGTTCTTATGAATATGTAAACATCGCTATATGTATAACGGAGGTTGTAATATCAATAAGATAGCATACCAGTATATTTTTCTGAACTTACACGTTATTAAATGTTCACTTTTGTAAACGGTAGATTGAACTGGAGAGCTGTGGAGAGGGGAAGGGAGGCATTCATAATCAGTAACTTTTGATTTCATAAATATGTTTTAAGTAAAAGTTATTTATTTTTAAGCGTAGAATGTGTGTGTGGTTATGTTCTTTTTTGCAAAAGATACCATTAAAAATCTCAAAGTTGCCCATCACACTGCCCTTTAAAATTTATTTGCAGCACACTTAAAAGACCCCTTTGTATCAAGGAAATCGTCATCTAAAACGAATCCTGTGATTTCACCTAATAGTTTCCGAGATCTGTAACATTTTGTTCGACTCACATCCTGTATATATTCTACTGTTTTTTGCAAATTATTCTGCAATTGTCACTTAATTTCCTCCGGTTTGCTCTCCTGGCCCCTTCTATTCTTCCTTTCTAATGACTTTTTTTTTTACTGTCCGTGAATGTTACTCCAATTCTTATAATTATTATAACTGTTTTTTTCCCAACGATCTTTATCGGGAAGTAATAATTGTGTGGCTTTCACAGCTCGCCGGTCGTGTTGCCAAGCGTGTTGTTATAATATGCAACATATATATATATATATATATATATATATATATATATATATATAAGAATAACACGAGAGAAGCGGTACCGCACGTAGGCGACGCCTTAGCATTGCCGGAAGAGGCTGATCTTCCGTATAATTGAATGGAATGGATCTATAGGTCAAACAGTGAAATGTGCTTTCACTTGAATCCGCAATCGAGGTGATCAGCGCAACGCGATTCTCCGGAATGTTGATGCAACGTTCAAGTAACGCGCGCGGGCTCGCAGGTTTTTCCATGTTCTCTCGTTAATTGCGATCGCTTAATCGGCGCCAAGGCACTTGAGAAATACAAATAATGATGTGTTAGTGTAACCTTGCAATTCGCACGAGTAATTTTCGAAGGGAGCTGTCTCGCCATTAAAATAGTTGTCTTCCACTTACTTCGTGATTTGCGTCAGGATAATAAGATTTTCGAGAATTTTATTGGGGACACGCGTAATGTTCAGGAAACAGGTAATGATTAATTAGGCATCTCTGCTTCCGTCCGTCATAACGGGTCGCCCACGTTGCAACTTTCCGATTTATCGTGCCAATTTCTCGCTCGTCATCTATTATAAATTAACGACGGATGTATCAAAGTGAAATCGTCGACCGGCTCAGACAGACAGATAGACAGACAGACAGAGAGAAAGAGAGAGAGAGAGACGCGTCAAATAGATTTTGAAATTATCGAATGATGTAAGCGCAAATCGTGAAGCTTGAGTTATTATGAAACTTGCGTTGGAAACATTTTGGGTTCAAAATCCTGATCGAGAATTCTTTCTCTCTTTCTCTCTGTTTTTTTTTCTCTCTCTCTCTCTCTCTGTCTTTCGTAGAACACCGACAGGATTCCACAGGATGTTGAACAGGGTATTTTATTATCTTGAAGGGACTTTCACCAAAGCAATCATTCGCAAAAGCCGATTCGCAAGTGCCGATTTGCTACACGAAGCAATTAAATCCTCGATTACATAAGGCACGCGTCGTGCGTACGCGTCCCAGATGTTTGACCACGTTGTGTTATTAAACTCGCGAGAGAGCAATTGAGAGGGAAGTGGCGCACGTGATATTTCCTCACGCGAGTCGTTAAATCTTACGAGATACAAAGCGAAATAGCTACGGAGGGCATCGAGATACGCAAAAGTGCGAAATGTTGATCTATGCAAGCTGTATGAACACGTCTTAATTTACAGCGGCGCCGAAGGACTTACTAATCGAGCAATTAACATATGTTACGTGTCAAAAGTGTCACATACACAATTAGGAATAAGACACAGAGGATGGAGATGGAGAGATGGAAGAAATAATTGAAAAAGTAATTGCGGAGTGGCCATGATCTAACGCGATTAATCTCACAAATAGGCTTGTTCTGAGCTATGCTAATGATCCGTTTCGATAGGTTTTACACAGAGAACGAATGGACCACCAACACCAATGAGTTGTCGGAATAATCTATCGCTCTAGATATCAAGATCGAATCGTTGGTCAAGATCGCTCGATAATGTCGCTGTAGTTTGCAATATTTCGCACTTAATTGGGCTTAATCGGAAATGACTGTAGAATAGGTATGAGGAAAACGAAAGTCCGGGATGATGACGTGACTGCTGTCCTTGCGCACTTAGATTATATCCCCTATCTGGTTAATAAGAATGTATGATATGTAATAAGTATGTTCACATAATCCTAGTTCTAAAAACACTGAGTTCACCATTGTGAAATAATTACCTTGTCGCCGCTTGAGATTTATTCTTGATTTCACAACTGTGACGTCTATGGTAAAAGGAAGTTTTTTCAGTGATATCGTGATCGAAAAGTAGGAAGACAATTCTACTTACGATTACGTCCAAACTGTACTTAAATGCATTGTCAACTGTGTCAACGAGGTTTTTTAAACTTTTGAATCATCTGAATCTTTTGAAAATCTTCGAATTTTTCAAGACTTTCATGAGGCGCTCAAGACTTGTAAAGTTTTTTAGAATTTTTAACTTGAAATAATACTCGAAGAAAATTGGACACTGAGAATTTTTGAATTCATAAAACTTTCGCACGCATTTAAAAAGACTTTTGAAGGTTTTTAGAATTTTTGATATAAAATTATTTGGTATGAAGTAATATTCAAATTCGAGAAAAATTGAAACTGAAACTTCGTACGTTCAAAGTGTGCGATGAGTATTAGATCCTCTTGAAATTTTTCTAATTTAACAAGATTTTTATTGATATTCAAGAATTTTAAGATTTTCCAGAAATTCTTAGAATTTTTTAAAAGATATGAAATGATACAATATGAAATAATATATGAAGAAAATTGGAACTTTTTTCGTATATTCAAAACAATAGATGTTTAAATCTTTTGAAAATTTTTGAATTTAATAACTCACGCAATATTCAAGACTTGTGAAATTTTCTAGAATTTTAGATAAAAATTAATATTCAAAGAAAACTGGAACTTTGTGTGTGTGTGTATGTGTGTGTATTCAAAGTATGCAAGGGAAATTTCAGCTTCTTGAAATTTTTTGAATTTAATACGAATTTCACACACATTCAAGACTTTTGAGATTTTTCCTAGAATTTCTAATATAAATTAACCTTTAGACTGCCGGGAAAGTCATTTTTGTGGCTTTACACAAATCTCAAAATTTTGTGCCATGTATGTTACTTATGTAGAAAAATTTTTGAGAAAAAAAACCACTTTTTTAATGAAAAAACGCCGACAACCTGAAAGTTAATACTCGAAGGAAACTAGAACTTTCTTTTTCTTCAAAAATTTTAAATGTGCGATGAGTGTTTGAAAATTTCTCAAAATTTCTTTCAAAATTTATCTTAAAATTTTTTAAATTTAATAAGATTTTCGTACACATTCGAGATTTTTGAGACTTTTTACAATCTTATACAAAATAATATTTGAAGAAAACTGGAACTTCTTTTGTATATGCAAAGTGATACGATTGAATAGTGACGTTAGTTATATTAAATTCATCGTTGGACTCGAGCAATTTTTCCAACGTCAATGAAGCGAACCGTTTATTTTGAAAAAAATATAAGTCTAATTTCATAAAAAAGACAATTAATTTAATTTTGTTATACTTACAAATCAACATTTGAAAGAAAGGAAGCGGGCGAAAAATAACATTTTTAAAAGGGTCTCAGATAATAAATTATGCTAGCTGTACATATAGCTCATAATTTCTTTATTTGAGGTCGGGTCTGTCTTCTCGTGAATGTCGTATAGGATGAGCTCGGCCTAGATGAAGCGTACATAGGCCTTGAAGTCTGTGGCGGTGATGCGTAATAAGGCGGACTTGTGGGTGGACTGTACGCAGGTGGACTGTACGCAGGTGGACCGTACGCAGGTGGATCATACGTAGGTTTTGGTTTTTCCGATTCTGAAGAACTGCCTGAGAGACCAGCGCTGGAAGTCGATAGTCCGCCGGATAGTTTGGCGCCGGAGGTGGACGCCGTGCCCGAGAGCTTCAAGAAAGCCCCGAGGATTTCTTTTATAGCCGAGAATATTGAATCTAGTGGATCCTGTAAAATTAATCAAAGAATCCTGTGATTCAATCCGCATATATAATACATTATAATCGACGTAAACTTTTTACTAGTATCAGCTCACTCACAGGTTTAGGCGCTTCGGTGGTGTAAGTATGGCCATATGGATGGCCATAAGTCGTAGGAGAATGGTACGTGTCCCTATGACCTCCATAGTACGTGTCCTTTTGACCGTATCCGTATCCGTTTTTGTGACCTCCACTAGAACCAGCGCTGGCGCCAGCAAACACTCCCGAAACAACGGCACTAACTAGAGATTTTACGTCCGAATCACCCGCTGATTTTGAGAGTTCCTGAAATGTAGTTGCAAAAATATATGATAAAGAGAGATGCTGTAAAATATTTATGCATTAGATTTTTTATCTTGCAGAAGAAAGGCAATACGAGAAAACTGCGATATCTTGTATATCAACTATACATACTGTACTTAGCTTGGCAGTAATGCTGGCGATAAGCCACGACAATATTGATTGTCCGTTTGCTCCTGGCTAAAACCAACAAACAAATACACATACAAGTATATAATAATGTAAAAATTACATAAACATAAATATATATAAGTATATAATATTTTACAATTACGAATTACCTTGCTTAAGGGATCAGACAATGATGACAATAAAGTTCCTAAACTTTCTTTACCACCGGGCTGAAAATCAAGTTCTGTTTATACTCGTTTTAATTGCATTAGTTTACATGAGTCACACATAAATTTACTCTTTTTATGCTACAGAATTTTACAAAATAAAATTCTTACACCACTACTGATACGACTTAGAGGACCGATCAAAGGACCCACAAGAGGGCCGATCAATGGCGCTATGAGCTGAATAAGAGGTCCCAAAATAGCACCAGAATCACTCGCTTGTCCGTCTTCTCCCTAACGAACAAAGAATGAACAAAGAGATTTAGATGAGTAGATATAGTTCATAAAGTGATGATTTTATAGAAAACATTACTATAGAATATTGTAACATGTGGATATTATACTTTAATTTGTTATACTTTATTATCATTTTGTTTCATATGTGCTCTATTTATATTTAGGTTATTTACTTAAATTTTAGAAACTTAAGTTTACTATTAAAGTTTCGTTATGTTTTTTAATAAGATAAATTGAACTTTTTACCTATGAATCTTACTAAAGAATATATTGAATTTCTTAATATATTAATTATCTGCTATAAGTAGATCTAGTAAACTTATTTAATAGATTCTGATTAATTTTTGAAAATCCATTTAGTCTATTCTTATTATTATAGATCTAATAATTATATAAGATCTATAATAATTCTTATTATTATAGATTTAATAAGTTTAGTAGATTTAGTAGATTTAGATGTGATAGATTTGCAAGTATGCTAAGAATTATACTAAGCAATACAATTTTTTACTTTTTGTTTGTGCCAAACAATTTTGACATATTTTTTGCATAATTTGGATGCCCTGAATAAGAAAATAGTAATAATAAAGTTTAAGCCGTAACAATTTTTGAGAAAGCCATAGCTCGAGTTTCATCTTATAATCAATATTGATAGACTAATGTACAAGTTTTACAACAAATATGAAGGGCCTAAATCTTACTATCATTTCTTACTTTGTATGCGAAGTATAATTTATATACTTTACAAGTTAGTGAAGTTAACTTGAATTTTTGTTTCACTAAAGTAACTTCGCCATAAAAATAACTAAAATAATCACTTCTATTGCCACACTTGCGCGACATGCTCTAATTCTAGTTAAGCAACGCTACTGAAGCAACGCTGTTAGCAATGCTCAAAACATAACAGAAAAAAACATATTTCAAATAAGATATTATTTTCTTTTAAGTTTCCAGCTAAATTAATTCACGCAAGGAACTTGTTAATAAATCACTCTGATGGGGTAATAAAACGATTTTCACAGTATGAAATAGTTCTAACAGGATAGTCTGGCTATAAATATGTTGATTTCAACATAGCAGTGTTGATATATTTCTGTAAATATTTGCTCAATGATAACGTTAATTTTGAAAGAAGATATATAAAAATCCATTATCGTGCATCTCTAAAATTGTCACCAATAAAACATTTTGTTTGTTATATTTGAATTCAACAGGTCATTAGTAAGAATTGGTGACTTTTATCTGTGGCGTAAAATGGTCCGAGCTATCATTTGGTAAACTCACCTCGCTGAGTCTCTGGGAGAGCGGCACCAGAACGCCTGGAATATCGATTCCTCCTTCTTCGTTCGGCTAAAAAGACAATTATTCTGCCGTCAGATTAGAACTTAGACCGAGCTAAATTAATCACATCGATTAAAAATGTCTACGAATAATTTGAGCGATATACATCGGATACTTTAATCTTACATCAGAAAGCCCTTGAAGGAGAGGAATAGCGCCTTCAAGCACGTCTGCCAGGTTGATGTCGGACTCTGGCTGAAATGTCCAATTATATTAGAATTTGTCGTATAAAATCATAGAAAGAATTGATACTGTCTCAAAGGCTGTAAGAGACAAAGATTGCAGTATAATTGCATTATTCATACATTTTATAAGTTTCAAGATATTAAACTGTAAAAGTTCCGAGTTTACATAGTGTGTATACACAGAGAGAAAATTATAGTTGTTTTCGGCGTCAACTATATTTTTTGTGATTTTAACCACAAAAATAATTAGAAAAACTATCTTTTTAATAACACTTACTAAAACAATGGTTGTTCTAACTATTTTTGTGACTAAAATCACAAAAGAATATAGTCGATACCGAAAGCATACTATAATTTTCTCTCAGTGTATACAAATTTATTGTTCGTTTCTGTTTATTACGTCGCTAAGTTCCTCAAGAATCGGCGCAGCTAGCGGCAGTAAATCCAATATAGCTTGTATAGATCCACCCTCTTCTTCTTCCTCGTTTTCATTCTCGTTGTCATCCTGTAGAGAAACGACTTAACATTATCGCCATGATAATTATTATGCAAAATGCGTGCAATACTGTTATAATTTCGTAAAACTCATCTTTCTTTGTATATGTTATCTGTTTAGAAATTATGTACGAAGAAAGAAATTTAGTTGGATTTATCACAAAGAGTACAGCGCCAAGCGCCCATAAGACATCGTCTCTTTTTCAAAAACTTTAAATATTCTAATTAATGATTAATACCGATTTGAAGTTCATGTCGACTTGATTAGCTCTCTACTGTCCACTGTGACTATGAAGTCATAATCCAGTTTCATTTTTATTTATCTCTATTATAAATATTATTCCTCTCTTGGCCGATGTGACATGAAGTTACAATATGGCTGCCTTTTTTAGTATGTTAGCAGCGATAGTTAGCAGCGATTCTGCCTAACGTGACCTCAGAATTACAAACCTTTCCGGAAAAAACGAACAAATCAGAAATTTTATCTAAAGTTACTGGAATTCTGTTAAAGTTAACAAGTTTCTTGGTTAATTTGGGCAAAATTCTAATAACTTGAACGAGAATTTTAAATCCGTTGACGCGTTTCTCTCACAAAAAATTTGGTTAACTCAACCAAATGTTTTTTTCGCGTGTATTGTACTAAAGAAATAATGTCTTCTTGTAAATTAATGTACACTGACTAAAATTTTAGATTCACCTACTGATTTGTCATAAAAGCAGATCTTTTGATATGTTTCGTTGGTGTTGTTGCTTAAACTATGAACTTACTTTTGATCTCATTAAAACTAGAATAAAAACATTGAAACCAAAGTTGTTGGTTTTCTTCGCGAAAGTTCTTTTATTACTTGATTCGCATAATAATTCTAAACTTTTGGCCAGTAGTGTAAACAAAAATCGAATAATTTGTACCACTTACGTCCGTTTGCTGTGCAAAGGTTTCGTTACCTCTTTCCTGATTTGGCAATTCCTGCTTCGTCTGAAACAAATAATTACATTTCAACCAGAGACTTCAAGCTTTCTAGTGATTTAGTCGAGAGAGTGTAAAAGCCGTCATAATTCCTCGGCGAGTTGCCGCTTTATTGTCGCGTTCCCATCGACACGTTTTGCATTCGTCGGTGATCTCTGCCGTGACGGGTGAAAAAGCAAAGGATTCACCGCTGATCCTTATTTGAGCAATCGACATTGCCAGTTTCATGCATATTTAATGTGTAGAAACATCGCGGCATGAAAATATCGCGACGACGCTACGATCGAATGCAAAAATTTCCAAATTTCACTTTCTCATCGTCGCCGACGCGAAGTCGATGGCTTTTTGCGTAATCGTCCAATAGCGGCAGTCCTTAAACTACGTGTTAACTAATGTGACGTGAAATATGACAGATTTGATGAGGGTACGAACGATGCATTCGTTATTAGTCCTTAGACGCGAATGCAAGTGCAAAGCGGATCAACTTTCCCGCTGAAGAACCGCTTGTCTTGTTCAAGCGTGACTGTGGATTGCAGCTTTTCTACTAATGATTTCGTAAGAATTATTGCGATAATCACTTTTTACATCATTACGTAAACGTAATCTTTTAAATATAGTCATGTATATTTCTTTTCCGAAGTTTTGCAGATTTATTATTCTTTTCAGAATATTTTTTTGGCAATTTTTTTGATATAAATTATTTTATAATTTAAGGGGATGTGCGCGCTAAAGTGGATGACGAACTCCAAAAATATCGATAACGTAGAGACGGTCATGACTAACACAATTATATTATTCTTTTCGTGTATTACTTGTGTGTGTTTTATATAAATTTTATGTAAATATCTGCTATTCTGTGCGTATTTTATCATGTTAACAGGGAATATAACCATGTATATATAGAAATTTTTCTGCAAACTTTTCATATATTTTTGAGCTCCTAAATTTAATTATAAAGATATGAAAATATTCTTTGAAATTTTTGTTAGTGAAGCAAATATATGTACAAATACGTACAAGTTACAAAATTTTTGTATCAAGTCAATATTTATATTAACTAACAGCTCGAGATGTCAATTTTAAAATTTTTGTCGGTTTTGTTACATATTAAGCAATTCATGATTGCACGCATTTTAAATGTGTAAAAGTATTTGTAACTCTGTGCAATCAAAACGACATAAATTTCGCAGGAAAGAGTCAATATTTTGTTGGTAAAGTCTTCAGGTATGACATCCACTTAAGTATTAAGAGGCTCAATCGCGCTTGTTCTGTTTTATATAATCCATTTTTAAATCACTGTACTAATAAATTTTAATTGTTCAATCGTTTGAATGTCAAGGAGCGCGATTAAGTTTCTTTTGTTTCGTAACATCCATTTCAGAATATTTTTTGCTTTGATTAATTAAATTACAACACTAAAATTCGATAAAATTCAATAAAATTCGATTGCTCAATTATTTTAGTGACAACGAGATCAATCGTGCTTCTTCTGCTTCATTATGCATAAATAAATTTTAAAGCATTTTTTAAATTATTATATTTGTAATAATCTTACTTATCATAATTATACATTAATAATACATTTCAATGTGAGTTATTCAATCGTTTGAACGTTAAGAAGTGCAATCGCGCTTTACTTGTTTCATATTAAAAAGTGCCGTGGGAGCGCAGCAGTAAGTTTACCGTTTAGCGTTCGTTTTATTAGATTAATATTTTAGACTCGTATTAATAGTTGTTATTTGAAACTTGTTTAAAGTGAAATATTCAGAGTCAGATCCAAGTTTTTCAATTAAATTACGATAAACGTGATATTTACACTTGTGTTGTATAGCGATTCAATAGAAAATCTCTTATCTAATTTTAAATTGAAATCTGAGTATCTCACTTAAGACGAGTTTCAGGTAATTATTATTAATATGGACCTTAGTTACATGAGAAATACCGAATATACGAAACTGTACGATCGTCTCACGAAAGCCAGTTTTAAGATAAAATCTTTGAATGCAAAACAGCATAACAAGAAAACATTCTGCGTAAACGGAACTGAGTGAGATTGTAAAAAGTTTTGTCTATGATGGGCGATATCAGATAGAACTTTTGTTTTATTTTTAAATTTACTCGTATAAATTAGTATTAATTTTAAGGATAGTGTGAAACTTAAAATTGCAGGTTGCAACTTGAAGTTTAAAACTATTTCTAGCAAACTGAGAGAATGAAAATGTAAATAAAAACCCTCAAAAACATTGGTAGTTCTTAATTTTGAGCGTATTTATACGCCCAAAAACTGCGACGAACATCTTATGTTGAGTGTATATACTAATTCTTTAACCTGTTACGGTCCTACATCGAGTCTATCTCAAAATCGCGTTTCGTTCTAGTTGATTATCTAGTGTGATTAGTAGAATGGTTTTATAAATCTTTTTATTTACTAATACATTAAAAAAAATTTATTTGATGGATCCTAGTAACATATTTATTTAACTTAATACATACACATATATATGTATATAAATTTAAAATATATACATAAAAATTAGTTCTATTTGTGTGTGTGTGTGTGTGTGTGTGTGTGTGTGTGTGTGTGTGTGTGTGTGTGTGTGTGTATAGTATGAATAATTATGTTATTAATATTTATCGAATAAATATTTCTTATTTTTTAGATATCTTTAGAAGATATCTTAAAGAGATCCTTTGAATAGTATTTGTGTATTTCTCTACCAAAATGTTATAGCTGTATCATTCAGAAGATTTAAAAGATTTTTTAAATCGTTCTTCTAATGAATTTTAGTTCACAACGTTTATAACGCTCAATTAAATAAAATATCATAACAAAATAACAAAGCCTTTGCTGGCATTTTCTAACACAAAGCAATACAATCTACTACGCTTAAATAGTTAAACTCTCGTTGAACATCAATTATTAATTACTCACATCATCAAAGACTACTTGTATTTTCTGCTGATTAGTTCCCTTTAAGATCGAGAGCACCGGTACCCCGACGTTGATCTCGGTTGCGTTTTTCGGCAGTTTTCTCAGGATACCCAACATTCTTAATAAATCGCCGAGTATAAACCGCTGCTGGTTCTTTGAATTTTGTTGCTTCGTGCCGTTCTGCTTTTTCTCGCTTTTCTTCTTCTGTTCTCGCACATTTTGTTGATTTTTTTCTTCTTTCTCTTCCTCCTCTTCTTCCTCTTCTTCCTCATTTTCTTCTTCTTCTTCGTTCTTCTTTAACTTCTTTTTGTTCGTGCCTGGAGTAAAGTCATCGAAAATGACGTTGACCTGCCCGGATTCGTTCGTGAGCGTATAATTCTTTTCGAAGTACGGAGAAAACTTATCGGGGCGATCTTTCGCACTGATCGCTAAGTGTCCTTTTTGCTGCGTCTTTGAAGTCGTTGTAGCTGCTGGCAATTGTCTGGTGATCGTTATCACCGCTTGGAACGGGAAGGACAAAGGAGGTTCATCTACCCCTGGTCGATTTCGTGGTGCCAATTGTGCGAGCTCGTCGTTCAAGGCATTCACGTGAAGATTCAAGGAGCTCTTCTTGGTCGAGAGCTTCGCGGGCTCCTCGAACTCAGAAATGTTCTGGTTAAAGATGTCCTGATACGGGACGATTTCGGTCGGCCTTAAAGGCAAAGGAAGATACGAGGCGGCTGGTGGTTGCGCCAATATCTCGGGAGTCCTGAAAATGGCTGGCTCGCTCTCGTGGAATGGATTTTCAATATTGAAGTTCGTGTATTGCTCAAGATACAACTGCTGATCAGCGGTCGGCCCAAAGTCTGATGTAGGCAAGTTGAAAGATTCCTGCAACTTGGCCGCTGTGAATTTCATCTTGCCTACGGGCAAAGGATACGCGGTGATTTCGTCGTTGGCACTTTGCATAGGGGGCTCTTTGAGTCTTCGAGCTGGGTAACTGATTCCCTGGCGCTTCTCGTTGGTGGACATCTTCTTTGTCATCTCCTTCGACTTGAAACCTGAACTATTGACAAGGGACATTCGTTTATCGTACTGTGGCCCGATCAACGAGACGTTCTTCAAGGTGGTCGACGTAAAATTGACTTTGGAGGCTACCAGAGTCATCACGTACTTGGACCAGGCTAATAGGTCCTGCTTCGAGGCGATCTTTAGTGGCAGTTGGATCTCCAGGATCCTGGGGGACGATGAGAAGCCCTGCTCGCTCTCGTTTACCCCACGCTTCAGTGACTTCAAGGGCGCCGAACATGCGAGGTTGGACACTATCAGAATTAAGATGCAGTTGGAGCGGGATAGTATCCGCGATAATATGAGACGCATCTTGAACATCGATATTCTGTCCCGAGTAATATTCTGCCGTTGAAAAGTATCTCGAATCTCAGGTACAATTAATGTAGAGCGACAATACCAAGACTCATGACGGCACTACATCTTTTTTAAGTACGTAAACTTTTACGTACTTTCTTGACGAATTTTTTCCGCACAGAGATGTCAGACACGGGATAAAACTCAGATACGACTAAAATTTAAGTTATATAATAGCGTCTTCAATATGAAAATAAATTAATTAACAAAGACTTATAAGAGAGCTGAACGCAGGAACGCAGTGGAAAAAAATAATAAAGAAATCTAAAACATTAAATCAATTCTTGACAATAATTCTCTAGTAGAAATATATGGAGTTTGCGTTGACATTCGCTTAGTTATCATCTACTAATTCATTCTCATTAGTTGCAAAAATACTGCGTAGAAACTAAACAAAAATTTGGTGAAGTTTTATATAGTGGTAGAAGCAATTTACTGTATAATATATGGATTGATTCTTTCCAAAACATATTATAGTATCAGTAATATTAATTTAATTTTATTTAATTTAATGTGCGTATTATATTGTCTATCGTGAATAAATGTAAAAGATATTTATTTACATTGTTAAACAAGAGCATAAAATTGCGTGAACAACTAGTGGATGTGTTAGAGAAACATAGAGTATGAAAAAGAAAATTAGAGTAGAGAGGAAATTAAAGAAATAAGATATTTGACAACATTAAACTTTGTGATATAGATGACAACCAAGGTTAGAGACGAAAAAAAAAGCGACAAATAAATGGAGGTATATATTAATGGAGGTATAATACAGAATTTTATTACAATGAGAGAGTGTGAAAATACATCAAAATTATTTCGATTGTAAGAATACAGTCGTGAAAACTGTCATGATAGATTTAAAACTTGTTGAAATAATACAACTACAAGAATGAATAATAAAAGGTATATGTCATTTGATGGTTGTGAAAGATGTCACGTAAAAGGTGAAAAATATGAGAAAATATATGTCATGTACCAAAAATTTCTTGCACTATGACTCCCATTAGTTTTAAGACTTTTTAATTAAAATAGATGTACAGAAAATGAATTACTACTCAAGTAAATCTGCCCATTTTATGAGCAGCAGACTTGATTATTAGTCAATTGAATAATTTTTTTGGTCTAGCTACTATTCTGTTTTCTTTTAGTTAATAGGTTCAGATTTTGTTTGCAGTAACTGAAAAACGTTCTTGATTAGGATCCCAAATAGTTTTACTTTTCATTTACTAGACAGAATACTAGATTACTAGAGAGAATACTAAAGACTAGATTATAGAAGTTAGCATTACTGTCCAGTATAACTGCTCGAAATCTGCATTAAATTTCTACAGGCTTATCGTCAAACATACGCTGAGAAAAAGAAATATCAGCTCTAACTAAAGTTATAGTTATTTTTTGCCTCAATCATATTTTTTTTTGTTTTAACGAAAATGATAGTAATATGCATATGCAGACTATTATTATTAACATTATAATAGAATTTAATAAGGAAACTGATATTATATAATTAATTACTTTCTCTTGATTATAATTTATCGTAAATTATTTTTTTATGTGATTATAGTTACAAATACCAAACATTTTTTTTAGTGTTCCGGACTTTTTTTGGACCTTTGTCAATCATCAACATCTAGCATGCAATAATAAAAAATGTGTTAAAGACATCCAAAGAACGTTTGTAAGGAATAGAACATATAAGGATTGAACGTTTGTGTTCGATTATAATTATTGTTAAAAATCAACTTGATGTTTTAAATCCTTGATTACTTCTTTTTTCACACAAACACCTTTTTGTCTTCAGCTCTTATAGGCTTTTGTTATTTTATTATTTTATTGCATAATATTTTTATGCAATCTCTTATTTATAACGCACTTTGCGATCCTGCGGTATTACACATCACTCACAATTCCACACACATGCACACAAGTAAAATGCAAGCAGTCTGATTATCCTTTGCTGAGAACGATTTATATATCAAATTGATAATTAAATCGAATTGAACTGGACGAACACAATGAACTCGGAAGGAAGATCTCGTAGAACATAATCTCGTAGGATACTTGAGGAACTGGACGGTTGAATAGGAAAATGGTTGCTTTATAGCAACCTGGCTTAATCAGAGGTCTGATTCTTTTTCCTCTGGTCGCGGAAGCGTGCACTTTTTCCATGCAGTATCGGTATATCGGCTCCGTTAATTATAGTACATCGAATCGGGGGCGGTCGCGTTTACTTCCGTCGTTGCGTTTCCAGCGACGAAGTCTTCCTCCCTGTGGTATTCGGATAATTACACACACGACTATGTAATGTGAAACGTGCACACGTGACCACAGACGAGAGCGACTTTCGTAAGGGCGATGAGTATCTAATCTTGTAAAAGCGCGTCGCAACTTCGTAACGTAGTAAATGGCGAAATTACTTTTCCAGAGATCGCGCGAGTGGACGGGACTTCGGAGACGCGGATCGTCGTAATCGCGCTGTACTTTGATTTGCCACGTGATTAAGCGATTACACGTAAACTACTGTTCATACTCGATGCGGAACTCGTTCGAAGAAACGAGTTCGTCGTTTGTGGATCCTCTTCCGGGTGAAATAACTTCTTTGTCAGTCTCTTCTATTACAAAAACAACAAAAAGAAATGAAGGAAAATGTTATTGAGTATATAAAAATCTCCAAATATCGTATAAATAATATAATTATTAAAAAAACAGCTCAGATTTAATATAACTAAAACAGATATAAAATATAAAAGATATAAAATATAAAAGATATAAGATATAAATATAAAAAAAATATTCAATTAAACAGTACTTATCAAAACTAGGAATAATCGATTAAAATTGTCAAATGACTGGTTCATTGTTTCTTTCCTATATAGTAAAAGATTTTTTTGCGAAAATATTTTTAATCTTTTATGGATCTTTTTTTTAATTGAATAACTTGTCACTTGCTCTCCCCTCTCCCGTATTATTTTATTATAAACGTAGAGAAAATATATTAAACATTTCCAAATATAAGAGTAATATTATTATAAAACAAACTTAAACTAAATTTTTTTTAGATTTGAAACAACTAGAAAAAAAAACATCAAATTTATTTAATCGAACAGTATTGATAAAAAGTAGAGGGAAAATCAATTAAAATAAATGGTAAATGGCAAATGAAATCAAGTAATTGGTTTATTGTTCATTTATAACAATACTACACATACTATATTTGAAGATTTTTATGTACTTGGCATAAGTACATAAGTTTTTTTTAAGTAAAAGATAATTCCTCTGCGAAAATATTTGTTCATCTTTTGTGGATTCTCTTTCGAGTGAAACAACCTTATTATCTGATCTTCTCGCTGTCCCCTTCCTTTCCAAAGTCTTTTATTATGAAGATAGAAAAAATATGTCAAGTACATAAAAATCTTCAAATATAGTATGTGTAGTATTATTATAAATCAATATATAAAAATCTTTTCTTGGATTTAAAACAATTAAAACAAAAAATCTTAAGAGATATTTAATCCAATAGTATTTGTCAAAAACAGAAGAAAAATTAATTAAAATTACTAAATAGTTGATTCATTCATGTTTCTATCTTTCTTTAAGTAAAATATCATTTCTCTGAGAAAATATTTGTCTTTATCTTTTATTAGTCTTCTTCCAAATATAACAATCTTGTTACTGTCCTCTCCTCCTATTTTTTTTTATTGCAGATGTAGAAAAAATACGTACATAAAAATCTCCAAATATAATGTAATATTATTATAAAATAAATAGCTTAAAAATCTTCTCTTTAATTTAAAACGACTAAGAAGAAAAAAACATCCGGAGACACACATTTAATTAAATAGTATTTAAGAATGGAAGAGAAATCGAATGAAATTGTCAAGTAGTTAGTCCTCTCTTCGTGTAAAAGAAGATATCCTTACCGAGAATATCTCTCATCACTCTCATCATGGGTCTTCTTCCGGATGGTAAAATTTTGTCCGCCAAATTCTTTTATTTTCCGACGCCTTTTTCTTTTTCTCCTCGTAGTTGAAATCATATTGCGATTTTAATCATTTTCAAAATCGTTTTTGCATTGTTATGTCACTGATGGCAGGGAATGATCTGTGTTGGCCATGAACGTGATCGTGATCTTGAAATTCCAAACCGGCAACAATGTGCCGGTAACGAGCGATAGCATCCTGTTTCTCGCCGGCACAAAGCAAGGACGCGTTCACACCCGCTCAAGTTAATGATAGTTCTCACGATCGCGTTGAAAGTGGTCGATTTAGCTGTACGTATGCAAAGTAGAAAGTCAACGGAGATACCAGTCAGAGTTTCATTGAGTGACTTATCTTGCACAAGAGATTTGGGACATTTCGTAACACAATTGCCGTTAGATCATCGTTTACTGACCATTCCTAAAACGGTACGTTACACCTTGACGATCTTTTGTGTGAATCCCTTACGTCCCATTCAAGGACGTATTACACAGTAAAATCTTTTCGAAAGAAGTAATGACATGTATGAAACAAAAAGATGGTGAAATAATAAAATAATCAAAGTAATAAAATATATAACAGAAAAAATATTAAAGTAACTAAATAATCGAAGTAATAAAATAAAAGAATTTAATAAAGTAATAAAGTAATCAAAGTAATATGAAATATATGAAATAAAAGAGTATCAAAGTAACAGAATAATTGAGGTAATAAAATATATAAATAAAAAATATCAAAATGAAATAATCGAAGTAAAATAAAAGAATGTTGAAGTAATACAATAATCAAAGTAATAAAATATTCAAAATATTAGAAGGTTCTTTGACATTTCTTTATTTTGTATATTTCATTACTTTGATTATTTCATTATACACTTTGATATTCTTTTATTTTATTTATCTTTACTTTTCATAAAATAATTGAATAAAATATGTAAATAAAAGAATATGAAAGTAATGAAATAATCAAAGTGGCAAAATGTAATAAAAGAATATCGAAGTGATGAAATATATAAAAAACGAATATCAAAGTAACAAAATAATCGAAGTAATAAAATATGTAAGTAAAGAAATGTCGAAGTAATGAAATAATTGAAGTGATAAAAATATAATAAAAGAATGTCGAAATAATAAAATCAAGATAACAAAATATATAAAAAATAAAAAATGATTTATGATATATCATTGAAAATGATTGATTTGAAATATCATAACTAAAACTACAAATAGTTACAATGTACTGATCAGTTTACGCCAATTATGCGAGATATTTAAATCAGGTTTAATCATGCGAGATATTTAAATCGTTCGGCAGGTGACGAACATAACATCAAAATTCAGAGAAAAAGTGAAAAGGAATCATCATGCTGATATCTGAATTAAAAAAGTTGTTTGCGAAACTACGTTCGCACGTAATATGTCATGGGGCGCGTAAAAGCAGATGTAAAATTTCGTCAGCTTTGTGGTCCCGAGTATTTCATTGGCGCTACGACTGTGCGGATGACCGGTTGCGTTTCGTAACCTTTCACTTTTTCGGCGAGAAAGGGTTCGCAACAACGTGTTCCCAGGGCATCGCCGTCGCCGCAATTGGGTCCGATACGGAAAAGTCATTGCGTAAAACATAATCTGGAATGAATATTGTTCGACCGGCGGTAACATTTTAGGAAATTAGACATTATGCGATGTCATTGCGCGAGTAATCACTCGGTAAGTGGTATCAAGATGCATCGATTTCGCATTTTTAGGACAGTGCACGGCACAATTCGCTGCTAAAAAAAGAAATTATAGCAATAAAAACTTATATCGTTAGCGGCGGACTTCCTAGTAATATTCAAATAACTGTACATGACTGATGACAGGACACGATGAGCGACTTCGTGATGTTCAATCGAGCGCGGTCAAGTCGTCGGGGAAAAAGAATGGCACACACGAGGCTGCTGGACTTTCCATTGCGCAAATGTACGGCCAGTGCATGCTGGACTACCGAACCACTTGCGCGATTTGCGACATCGTGTTCGCAACATTCTCTTCCGCCTGTTTCTCGTAAAGAACTACAGTGACATCTTCTTAGGAAAAAACAAAACAGAATGACAGGACTTCTTTCTCGGAGAACAAACCTCCATTTCTCTGGTAAAAATGTACAGTTTGTGCGGACATACACTCAGTTATTGTCTAATAATAACGCATTTTCATTAGTTGTAGAAATACTATGTAGAAACTGGACAAGAATTGGATTCAATAATTGGAGCAGTTTACTGTAAAATATCTATACTAATTTTTCCTTTAACTATCAGCAATATTATTACAGTTTTATAATGTATTGTATTGTACATGCATTGTAATGTTTATCGTAAAATATGTTTATTTATATTGTTAATAATAAACAATGAATATAATGTTAATAAGTTAAACAATGAGTAAATGAGTATAGAAAAGCATAGAGCAAGGCAATATAAATTGGAGGAAAAAAGATATTTGATAATGTTAAACCTTAAACAGAGATAATAGCTAAGGTTAGGAATTAAAGTGAGTAGTGAGTAGTGAGTAGTGAGTAAAAAGATAAATAGGATATATGTTAATAATATAAAATTTTATTGCGATGAGAACATATCAAACGATTCTGATACTAGGGTAAATTGTTATAACATCTCAGACTTAAAACTTAATAAAATAGTACAACTTTAAGAATGGATAAAAAGATCTATGTAAGAAATTTTTATAAAAATTCTAAGATTTTATAAAAATTCTAAGATTTTCTCATAATTTTTTCAAAATTTTTATACGGATTTGGACGTATTTCAGAAAAATTCAAATGAAAATTTTGAAACAAGCATTTCTGAGCATTTTTTAGGTATTTTTAGCTTTACATTTTAAAGAAAATTTGAAATATTTTTATAAGAGTTTAAAGTGGTTCAGTAATATATATGTGTATACATACACACATATATACACATATTTATGTTTATATACGATTTATATACTCGTATATATATGTACACACACACACACACACACACACACACACACACACACACACACACACACACACACACACACACACACACACACACACGTGTGTACA